AAATCTGATGATTTTTTTGTTCTATTTCTTTAAAAAATGACATTGGGATTTTGATGGGGATTGCATTAAATCTTACATTGCTTTGGGTAATATGGCCATTTTAACTATGTTGATTCTTTCAACCCATGAACGCGGGATATTTTTCCATTTCTGATAATTATTGCAAATGTATTTTTCTTACAATTTCCTTAATAGCATTTTCTTTTTTCAAGCTTACTATATTATAAGAATAGAGTATATGCCCTGACTAGATGGCTCAGTTTGTTGGAGTGTCATCCTGTAGACAAAAGGTTGTAGGTTTGATTCTCAGTCAGAGCACATATCTAGGTTGTGGGTTCGATCCCCAGTCAGGTAGTGTATAGGAGGCAACTAATTAATGTCTCCCTCTCACACTGATGTTTCTCTCTTTCCCTTCCTATGTCTCAAAAAATCAATAAAAACATATTGTCTGGTGTTTTTTAAAACAAAGAACATAGTATATACTGTGTTTTTTTCATTTTATTTTTTATTATATGGTCGTTTTTTAATAATCCAATCTTGAGTTGTTAAAATGTGGTTTTAAAATGAGAGGAAAAATATTTTCTGCATGGTCACTGTATTTATTGAATAATTGCTGAATGTCCCTATGTTCTTTTCAGTTATTCATTCTTTTATTCAATAGATATTGAAGAACTATCTTCATTTTTAAGGATATTAGCCTAACATTGAGGCTGACATGCTTGGAAAGTGAAATAAAAGGAGAGAGTTTGATAACCAAAGGAGAGATCAGTAATAAGGCTCTTATAAGTGTGCAGTTTGTTCAAGGAGGGAACAATAAGTAGTCAGAAAATCTTCTTGCCTCCTAATATGATTTAATATACTAACATGTTAATTATGTTAGAAAATTCATTTTAGAAATAACAGTTAATGTAATTTCTTAAAGTAGAATACAGAATTCAAAGTTGGGAAAGGAAAATCCTAAAATTTAGTTAGATCTTATTCTATGCATGAAAAAAGCCCGAGACATGCTGTTTTACATCTGGCAAACATCCTAATTTCTTCTTGTTTAAAAACCATTTGATTTCCATTGCTAACTTGCATCTTTCCCATTTTATTTCATCTTCACCTGAGATATGTTTTCCATTGATTTTCAGAGAGAGTGGAAAGGAGGGGAGAGGGGGAAAGAGAGAGAGGGGGGAGAGAGATGAGAGAGAGACACATTGATCAGTTGCCACTAGCACGGGCCCCCACCAGATCGAGGGTTGAACCTGCAACCCAGGTACATACCCTTGACCGGCATAGAACCCAAGACTCTTTAGTGCCCAGGCCAATGCTCCAACCACTGAGCCACACCAGACAGGGCTTTCTCGTTGTTTTATATCCAGGTGTAGGTAATACAGAATTGGCATTAGAACTTAGATCTCTGGATTCCAAGTCCACTGCCAGTAGCACTCTATTTGGTTGCATTTTGCACACCAGAATTCTTGTTTTGTCTATACTGGTGTTTTTTTTAATAATCTTTAATTTTCCAGTCATAGTTGACATACAGTATCATATTAGTTACAGGTGTATACCCCAGAGATTAGACATTTCATAACTAAGTGATCATCCTACTAAATCTCACACCCATCTGAAACCATAATAGTTATTAACTATATTTCCTCTGCTGTACTATATGTCTCTGTGACTATTTTATAACTACCAATTCTTCACCTGAAATTAAACTAGAAATTAATAATAAAGATAGTTGGAAAACCAAAAAAATATTTGGAGATTAAACAACATAACACATGTGTCAAAGAAGAAATCTCAAGAGAACTTTAAAAGTATTTTGAACTAAATTAAAGAATTAGGTTTCTTACTTACTTTTTGTTTTTAGCTACTTATCAACTCAGAAAAACTGATGGGAGTTGGGCAGCAGTCACAGGAGTTTCCTCATACTGAATTAGATTCCGTCAGTGCATTTATATATTGACAGACTGAAAACAATTTTTAAAGGTTTTTGTGTTTTTAGGTTTTTTTTTGAAGAAAAAGTATCCTTTCAACACCAGGGGTTCTATTTTTAAGTTAACCCAGTGGTTTTCAATCATCCATATTAGAAATGCCCAGAGTCTTCTTGCCTGGAGCGTCCAGGTCAGGTGCCAGGAGCCAGGCATTCAGTCTTCCATGGGTAATGACAGAGCAGGGGTTGATGGGGGATCTCGAACAATCTGCAGTGGCGCAGGAGCCTGATTTTGACCCTTATATTCTCAGGGTTGAGAAAGGGAGGAGAACAAATACATAAACTAAAACCATTCATTTTTTACTTCAGCTTTGCTAATAAGTGTTTTACCCATTTTCACTAACACTTGTTTTTCATCTGCATTCGTCATTCATAAGTATCTTTGTTTTTTACCATCTTAACCATATTTTTTATTGATTTGAGAGAGGGGAGGGAGAGAGAGGGAGAAACATTGATTTGTTGTTCCACTTATTTATACATTCATTGGTTGAGTCTTGTATGTGCCCTGGCGGAGATCAAACTGCACCCTTGGTGTATGGCAGGGGTGGGGAACGTCTGATCCCTATATGATCCGTGAAATTATTTGGTCTGGCCCTGCTAAGGCATTAGGGGTGAGTTAATTAAACTTAATTATTGCAGGCTAATTTTTAAGTCGATAATGGTATGTGGCCCGCAAATGATGTTATAAATATCCAAACGGCCCTTGGCAGGAAAAAGGTTCCCCAGCCCTGGTGTATGGGACCAATGCTCTAACCAACTCAGGAACCTGGCCAGGGTCCCATGTTAACCATTTTTTAAGTGTACAGTTCAGTAGTGTTAAGTGTATTCACATTGTTGTAAAACAGATCTCCAGAACTTTCTCACCTTGTTAAACTGAAACTATCCCCATTGAACAATAACTCCTATCTCTCTCCCCGCCCCCCCAAACTAGCCCCTGGTAATCGCCATTCTGCTCTCTGACTCTGTGAACTTGTCCACTCTAGGAACCTCATCATATAGGTAGATTCCTATGGTGTTTGTCTTCTTGTGACTGGCTTATTTTATTACGAGTAATGTCCTCTATCCACTGAGCCAAACCCGCTAGGGCCCTTTCTCCTTTCTCCATTGAGTGACTTGGCACCCTTGTTGAGGATCATTTGACCATATACAAAAAAGATTTGTTTGGGGCTCTTTATTCCATTGGTGTATATGTCTGTCTATTTGCGAGCGCCACACCATTTTGATTACTGTTGCTTTGTAATATGTTTTGAAATCAGGAAGTGTGAATCCGAATAATCTTGGCAAACAAAGAAGCCTCACAAGTATCCAGGAGATGGGGTCCACAGTCTTTCGCATGCTGTTCTTGCCTCCCTCCACATACGGTTCTGGTAGAGGAAAAAAGTTACTGGCTATTCCGGGAACCTGTGCAGTGCCTGGAATTTCCTTCCACAGATACTGTCCCTGGAACTATCCAGCACCCCCATCCCCCTGGCCTTGTTGGCTCTTGTGTACGCAGTCTCAGAAACCCTCTCTCTCAGGCTCGAAAGACTGATAATTGGAGCGAATTAAGTGGGGACCAAGCCCACAGCCTGGGCCGCCACTTCTGCTCCTCGTCTGAGGATGAGGAATTCTCATCCGACTCTCCCTCCGGGCTTGGGGAGCGTGTCAGGAAACAGCCCCAGATCCTTCCAGGTGCTGCAGTGATTCCCACACCTTCCTGGAGCTGACAGGAGATTTTCAGGGGACGGTTGGTGTGTGGGTGTGGGTGGGAGCTTGGGTACTCTTGGGTGGCAGGGATTTTCTGAGAAAGTTAAAGCAGTATTCATCATGGGGACTGTTTTTCGAGTTTGCCCGTCATCTCTGACACCTAGCCCCTGTGTGCTGTTCCCTGCAAGGAGGGCCCTGGTCCCTGCCTGGGAAGAGGGTGGGAGGCCAGGGGCCGGGGGAGCCCCGAGGGGCGGTCGTGGAGGAATCACTGCCGGTGCCCTTGCCTGGGGCTCAGGCTGTGAGCAAGGGAGGCCTCCTGTGCAGCGGGGTTTCGGGTCCCCCATTCCTTGGCTCTCCTATGATGGTGCTTGTTTTCTTCGACCTCGAGCTACAGTGGCCCAGACCGTCTGCCTGGAGAGATGGCTTTCCTCCTACGGGCTTGTTCCTCTCTCCTTTAACAGGAGACCTTGTGCCCAAGGGCCTCTCTGTTGTGTGGCAGGAGTTACTGACCCTGGAGAGCGAGGGTTTGGGGTGATGTTGAAGTGATGCCTGTGCATGAGAGGAGGTGGGGTGGAGTCAGAATTGTTGTGCCATTTGTGGCTTTATAACCTCCTCCTGTGTACTGGATGCGTAGGAGCCAAGTGAAAGGTTGTTTTCTTACAAACATTTGAGCCTTTGCTTTTATGCCAGGTTTGCTTTACCGATTAAAAATGTTTACTTTAAATCAGCAATTCTCAACTGTGTGCCACAACAATTTTTAGAACGTGCGATACCTGACCATTTAGTCTGGGGCACGGACCTCTTTTCCCTGAGATTGCTGAATAAATGACACAGCCAGCCAATGATAGGCATTCCATGTGAATGAGTCTAAATTGTACCTATTCCTTTTGTCAGATTGGCAGAAAAAAATACACTTTTTGGTGTGCTGCAGAACTTTAGTGATTTTTGTGTACCCATGAGATGAAAAAAGGTTGAGAATCGCTGCTTTAGATATTTGTGCTTAATTCTGGGTCTGAAAACTCAGTCTTCTAATTGGACTGCTTTATTGGAGAGGTCTTCTCAGAAAACAACCAGCTTGGCTCTCAGATTGACCCTGATTAGAGGAGAAACGTCCACATAATTGGCCCAGCCATGTTTTCATTCCAGATAATTAGACTTTCAGTTTTTGTTTAAAGTTCTCCTAATGGCAAATTAGTTTCTATGGAGAATAATAAAATAAGTAACATTTTGGTAAAGTTACACAAACACCTTTATTAATCAGTGTCTACTCAGGCATTCATAATTTTTTAGTGTTCTCCTTGGAAATGTCATACTTCCGTTTTGTCTCCTGCAGTTGACCAGATATACCATCTGGCCTCTCCAGCCTCTCCTCCAAACTACATGTACAACCCCATCAAGACGCTGAAGACCAACACGATCGGGACGTTAAACATGCTGGGTGAGTTGCCCTTCCTTGTTTTGCAGCTGTTGTTGGGAATACTGTAGACAGCCCACGTGTAGGCCTTTGTGCTGTGGAGCGTGATCCTGCTCTTGACACCCTCTCTCACCCGCCGCGTGGGCTATTTCACTGAGACTTTATTTGGCATCAGAATTGGTCGTGGGGAGATGGTCGTTGTAGTAACTAACCAGTCTGTGTTGTCCCAGTTCAGTCCCCTGGGAATACCACCTGTGCTTCTGGTGAGGACCCAGCCTCCCTCCACTGTCCCCTCTGACTCACAGTGCAGTGCCTCCCCTCTGGAAAGGGCACTGGTGGCTCTGCTCCAAGATTGGGTTGGAGAGGATGACACAGACACACACACACAGCACACACCCCATAGACACACACAGACACCACACACAGATACATACAGCACACACACATCCCCACAGACACACATACACTGGACGCACACCACTCAGACAGGGAAACACACACACACACACACACACACACACACGTTTCAGGAGCCCTCCTGGAGGGCGTGGGAGGACAGCTGTCCTTATGGGGCTGTGGAAGCCTAGTCCTGGCTCCAGACAGAACTGCAGGGCTCACTTAGGAGAGTGAGATGAGAGGGAGCCCTTAAAGGGCTGCATGAGTGTATTTCCACACGACGTGGTGATGTGCACATGTCCATGCTTGAGATGGGAGGCAGGGGTAAGCTGGGAACAGATGCCCAATACACTAGGGGTTTTGATTAGTTACAAACTGGAAGAAAGGAACCTCTTTTTGAAATGTCAAGTAAAAACAGGTTTAGTTATAGGAAATCTGAAGCAGGTTCAATAAATGGGTTTGAGAAGCTAGCACTCAATTTGAATTTGACTGAAGCCTCAGACAAGGGTCTGAAGAGGCAGCTGGAGGTTGGTTTTCAAGGCTCATAGACAACACTGGGGAGTCGAGCTCTGTGGGAAGTGAAAGGGCGTTTGTCCTCCTCTGTGTTGTGCCCTGGCTTCTGCTTAGAAATACAGTGTGTGACAGGCTGCCCCTCCTTCCTGCCAGAGCTAGACACCACAGAGGAAAAGCCACTGAGCACAGGATGCTTAAAAGATCTCATGTAGGCAGTGCAGTCAGGGTGCCCAGGGCACTGTCCTGGCAATTGTGGAGGGCATTCAGATAAGGACTGTGCTCTGGCTCTTTGCCAGGGAACTTGGCTTCTCGGGCAAGAATGTACGGGCACAGGCAGTCGTGATTCCCAGGAGGAAAGGAAAGGTCTCAAAAAAGAGGCACCCGTGCAGGTGACTCTAGGGCGGGGGCCTGAACCCTGCGTGAGGTTGGACCTGGAGGTCTTGGAGGAATGGCAGAGGGTTTTCAGGAAGGACATGGACAGAAGCTAGAGAGGGACCATCGCTAGGCCAGAAAGAGACCCAAATGGGACTTTGTATTCCGAACTGAGAGGAGCTGTTGCCAGCTGTTCTGCACTTGGGACAGGATGCCCCGAACGTCGCCCGGCCTTCTCCGGGTAGGGACCTGCTCTGTGCTTCACCGCCTCCCTGCTCCTGTGCCTGGCATCTTCCTGATGTAGCCTCTGTCCAGCCTCCGTATAGGCACCGGGCCTGGTCGCAGCGCTGCCCTGTTCCCCTGGCTGCGGCCTGAGGCCCGGAGGCCCTGTGTGGAGGAGGCCAGCATGGAGGAGGCAGCCGTCTCGAGTGCACCCTGTCAGTGCCCTGGTGATGATACTGAACTGTAGTTTTGCAAGTTTTTACCATTGGGGGAAACTAGATAAGGAAGGGGTACCTGGGATCTCGGTATTCTTTCAACTTAAAAGTTTAAAGAAAAGACCTCGGATCCTTCAATGTGAAGCAACTACCGTTGCCTCTGTGTCGTGATGTGTGGTCCGCCTCTCGGGCTCTGTGGGATGAACTGGAGTGAAGGAGATGGGACCCGGTGTTGGGAGCCTACGAATTCCATGTCACACTACATCCTGCCCATTTCCTTCCTCAACCTCAGGGGGCATATGCACAGGCTAGCTCCAAATCTTGTTTTCCAGCAGCTCTGTTCTCTTGTTCTCCATGCACGTCCTCATGGCCCCCAGATGCTGTGCACTCCCACCCCTGGCCTCTTCATCCTAGGCCCTTCCCTTCCTTCTGTCTGCCCGGCTTCTCCAGAAGTGGCTGCAGGCTCTGTGCTCTCCCCTCCCGCTCCTCCTCGCAGCCCTTCCTGTGCCTGTGTGCTGGGTGCTGGGTGCGTCGGCACAGGGCTCTGTGGTGGAGGACGTTTGGGAAGCGCTGGGTGAAGTGAAGGGCCGTGGTGTTCCTCTGTACCTCCTGCACATCGGGACTCTGACTCTGCACCTTGCGTGACCACCATAGATAAAGCTGTTCTCGTCCGTTCTGCATGTCAGGGCGAATGCAGGAAAAGTTCAGAGCAGGGGGCGGAATGTGGGGAGTTGCTTTGGGGAAGATGGTGCTGTTTAAGCCAAACCTGGAAGGAGGCGGGAGGACGGGGTGGGGGTGTCCAGACTGGGCTGGTTCAAGCGCAGTAGAAGGTGCCAGGAGCATGTGGAGGAAGTGCCAGGTGGACCATTTGGGGGCAGTAGTGGAAGGAAGTTAAAGTGCCAAACAGGGTGAAGCTACCTCATAACATAGTGGGTGATACGTTGGGGCAAAGGAATCTTTGTGAAACTCCTCAAATCACACGTTACCAAACCCACAGACCCTGCATTTGGCCCTGCTTAGTTTATTAGTATCTCACTAAGTACTGGGCTCCTCAGGGTTCACTTGTGCTTTTCTTACTGTTTTTATTGGTTTGTTGTTGGTGGTGGGGTTTTTAACTCCTTCTGTTCCAAAGTAGATGCAATAAGAGTGGATAACTGAGGATGCATGGATGTCAGATGCCATTAGTACTAAAAGATTGCTGAAACTGGCAACCAGAATGGGCATGTGTGTTTTTTCCTTGTCTCCCTGAAGTGACGGCTGCTCTTGTGTCCCTGCTCTCTGTAGGGTTGGCGAAGCGAGTCGGTGCTCGCCTGCTCCTGGCCTCCACCTCGGAGGTGTATGGAGGTAAGTGGGTGGGGCTTCTCTGGGGCAGTTCTCATCCTGTCTTAGGGGAGGAGGAATCAAGGGTCGGTCCAGAATTCCATTTCTAAGGAGGCAGCGCTTTTTTACTCCAGTGCACAGCAGCCAAGAGGCTCCTGTGTCTGCCGTTGTCTCCGCATTGCGGTCTCAGGCTCTGCCTCCCTCCTGCTGAAGCACGCCCTCCCGGCCTGGATCACTGCTCCCTGGCGAGGAGGACTGCCGGTCACGGTTCCGCAGAAGTCGTTTTGCATTCTGTTCTGAGAGCACCCAGAAATCGATTCATTGGGGATTCTTTGCCTGTCTAGCAGGTGCACGTTATTCTTCAGTGTAAACAGTGGCATTGTGAGCGAACCCAAGAACTGGGGGTTGGCCTTGAAGAGTGCTTCATGAAGGGAATTGTGCTGGTGCCTCCCTATTGCATAACCGTTTCTGGAAGAATCTACCAGAAAACTCAAGGGTCTTTCCTGCCAGTCTGCAGCACTTCACCGCCCTCCGTGGGGAGTGGGGTGAGGGCTGACATGACAGGTTGTTTACGTGGATGAACACTTTCAGTTCACGTGGCACAGGAGCCAGGCTTGGCTGTGGTGGAACTTACCCACCTCATGTACCGTTTCGGACAGAGAAATGCGGAGTGGAAGGGCAGCATGGAAGAGGCGAGCTGTTATTAACGAGAACCAATGGAAAAGTCTGAGAAACGGAAATTCCACTACATGTAGTCATGTTCTTTGTAATCCCTATGGAAAGGGAGAGCTCCGTCCACTTCTCTGAAGTCCTCCGGGTTCAAGGGCGGGACTGCCCACAGTCCCCTCCCCTGTTCGCCCTGTTGCTTAGCAATGGGTAGGTGAGTGGCCCTGGAATTCTCCCTCCCTGTTCTGTCCATATCATGACTGCAGAGATCAGCAAGTTCCCCATGTGCATCGGATGGTCCCCTTTCTCCTCGGAGGGGCTTCCTATGTCACATAAGGAGAGGCGTTGACAGAGTCCTCGGCCTGTGTCTTTAAATGCCTCAGACACAAAGGTGCTCGAGTTCTCTGTCCAGGAGGGCCCGTGACAGCTCTCCACATCCACCGTCTTTCTCCTCCCACCTCATTGTTATCTGAGCATTGGCAATAGCTTCTGGTCTTCAGGGTCGTAAATACCGTCAGTGCTGCACTCCTGGGCCCACCTGGTGCTCTGCTCTGATGTTTCATGACCGCATACACGCGCTGGGGCGTGCGTGCTGTTCTGTCAGCCGGCACCCTGCAGGCAGGGGAGCCTGATTAGGAAGTATGTCACTGGCCCTTTCCTTTTGTAATTTCAAAGTGATGGCATGAGGGACCTTTTTAAAGCTGTGCCATGGACTGCGGGCATTTCAGGGGTGGATGGGCATACCCAGCCTTCTCCTCATCATTGGCCAAATTTCGGATCGTCTCCTTTGGAGTCTAGCTGGCCAGTCCTTGTGAAGAATCCCCAGGAAAGGTCTGATGGGGACCATCCATCACATCTGTGTGAATTGACGTCACTGGTTTTCTTCTCTCCGGGAGTGTTTGCCTTAGACCTCTCTCACCGTGCAGTAAAGCGTGCCTCTTCTCAGGGGAGTTTAAAGCTCAGAAGCAGATAGAAGGTGTGCACCTGCACTGAGCCTCCGCCGCCCAGTGGGCGACCACAGGGGCACGTGTGTGCCACGTCCCCTCCCTCGTACCCACACGTCGAAGTCAGATTCTGCTACAAGTTACACAAGGAGTGAATTTACAACATAGGTTCCTGGCCTTGTCCAGATTTCTTGGCAAAGATTTACACATTTTATACCATGGGTGTTCATGGTTGTATAAAATTCCTGGTGTACTAAATTAGTTATTAATTCACATTCCAAAAGTATACTTGTGTTAAAGAATTTGTTACTGGGATTTCTTTAGTCATTTCTCTGGTACATCTCAAAATGTGATTGAATTACACACCAGAAACACGGGAATTGGGGACTATAAAACGTGTGCTAAAGGGACAAGCCGTCTTTGCTATTGACCTCCCACCAGCCCTGGACCAGGGCTCCTGGTGTCTCTGAGGTTTTAGTCTGTGCTGGTGATGGCACACGTGAAAGTCATCTTCTGCAGAGATGCTCTTATATTTTTTTTCAATAAATACATGCTTTGCTTTCCACACATATTTTATAAATATAAAATTGAACCATGTATCTCTTCACATAGATTATATTTAATTATAATTTGACAATGATTTAAAAGTTATGAACAATTTATGGGAGAGGGGAAGGCTAAAATAGAGAGCCTTTGATCTTTTCATTTTTTCTCTGTAAAATACGTATTAGCATGAGAGGTAAGAACAGCATATCCCACTGGAACTTAGTGGAATGTGGAACACTGAATTCTCTAGATACAGGTCTTCCCACATGTAAAGTTCATTTTGGTCTTCCCACAACTCCCTTTTGTATCATAAATCGTCAGTGTTCATCATGGGTATGAACTTGAAACAAGGAGGGATGAAAACACGGTCTCGTTTCTCCTTCTCATAGACCCTGAAGTCCACCCTCAAAGCGAGGAATACTGGGGCCACGTGAACCCGATAGGCCCCCGCGCCTGCTACGACGAAGGCAAACGGGTTGCGGAGACCATGTGCTACGCTTACATGAAGCAGGTATTGGCCAAGCGCGTGAGCTGGGGCGCAGACATGCAGAGCGCCCGTTTCGCTGAATGTGCAGCACTGAAGGAGTGAAATGCCATGATTACCTGCAGGGGGCGCTGGGAAGGAAGCCCAGACCCCACTGTTTTACATTAATGGTATTAGCAACAGTTTTCTTCCTTTAAAATGATGCTTTCCAGGGGGTGAATTCCTCGCTTTGAAATACGACCGCAAGGCTCAGAACACCGTGCTGCTCTTTGGCTACATGCCATGCCCACCAGCAGCCAGAAGTGCCTGTGTTTCCTGCAGCCCCCGAATCAGTGGCCTGTGCTTTTCACCTTTGTTCTCTATAGGTGTAAAGTGAGTGCATGGTTGCTCTCGTCTGCACCTCTTCAGGAGCTGTTACTCACTGTATCTCCTGCTTTCCCAGTTACTCATTGCTTCCCTGGGGGCTGTCCCTGGTAGTTTCATGTCCCCAGATTTTGCTCCCCACACACTGGAGCAGACAGAGCCCACAGACTGAGGGCAGAGGGATCTGGTTCTGCCTGGCTCTGCTGCTGCCTCGTCCTCAGAGGTGTGGCCTGACCCTCCTTGGGTCACTCGGGTGCTCAGTTCTGGACATGGGGCTTCCGTGCATGGCCCTGGCCTGCCTCAGGCTGGTGTGGGAGCCAATGAAACGTCCCAGGACAGGGCCCCAAGGGGACTGGGGCAAAAACCTTGGCTAGTTCATCCCACTTGGTGAACAAATCCCTGTTTGTGCTTTGGACCAGCCGCTCTGAGCCTCATTGGAACATGCCCCTTTCAATTAAAAGGAAAGGGACAATGATGGACCAAGACAAGGGCTTTGTGCTCTCAAGAACCTAAAAGTGGAAGTTGGGCTGGTGTTCC